ACAAAATGAATTCACACACACAAATGACAACAAAAGTATTTACCGATTAAGAAAACATTTACTCCAGTCAACAAATGAAAAAATTCGAACCCGCAATATGACGGTAAAATAACGAGACAGATCTTCTAAAATTGAAAGCGATATGAATGAAAATGACACCCGAAATAATTACTAATCACCAAAAATTTTACCTGAGTTAACCAATTAATCAATCGAAACAAAGAATAAGATATCAAAAAAACAGCACCTATACACCTACACCATTTGGAAACTACATAAAAACAATGAAATATTCACGAATGGCGAAAACCTTAAATTGATTGATTGATGGCTAAATTAGTCGCAGTTACTTTGATGGTGAAAACGAATCGTTGTTCTAGAAAAAGAAAATTTTAATGAATAAAAATTATTAATTGAATAATTCCGTTTGAAGAAATGCTTTAGTTATTTCGATTGATGAAAAAATCGAAGGGAAGAAGGTGATATGAAAAACGATTGCTTTTTCGAAAAAAACAAAACGTTAGCAAGGAAAATACAAAGTAAAGAAAATACCGATCAAGTAAATCTTGACGTTTGTCGATTGGTGAAGCAATTAGAACGAGCCAATTGATGGTCAAAACAAATAGTTGTTCTAGAAAAATAAAATTTTAATGAATAAAAATTATTAATAGAATAATTACGTTTGAAGAAAAGCCTTAGTTAATGCGATTGATCAAAAAAAAACGAAAGAAAGAAGGCGATGTGAAAAACAATTTCCTTTTCGAAAAAACACTTTAAAAAGAAAAATTCAAAGTAAAGTAAATAACGACCAAGTAAATCTTGAGTTGGTTGAGAAAAAAATCTGGGAAATTGAAAAGAAAGCTATACTTGGATACTATTGGTCGGATTATCATATCTAAGTCAAAGTTTATCCGTTATGACTGAAAATTTGACTATATTCCTAAAAATGCTAGCTATACAAAATGAGATAAATTTCATACGAGTCTATAATTTTCGATTGTGTATCATCGATCATGGCTATCGTATAGTGACTCACAGGGATTAAGATTCAAGAGGGTAGATTAAGACGGCGAATACTGATAGCTAGCCGTATACTTACCGATGTGATAGAAAATCGTTGTTTCTTTGATAAATAGAGTAATAATGAACTTAGCGTTAAGAACACCGACGTTTATTTAGAGAAAAAAATCGTTTTAAAAAAGTGATAATTCAACTATTCATCAAACTGAAACATCTTGATTGCTAAGGAGCTGATAATACAATAATGTTAGATGAAAACAATAGATTGAATACGGTAAAAGAAAACCGATCCGTGCGCACGTGGAGAAACGAAAGTCAACATGAATGATATACTTCGTATCGCATTATTATTAAAATAAAAATGATCTTCCAATCAGTCGTCATTCTCTCGACAGCAATAGTGGCATAGACCATAAAGATTCTAGGTCTAACTTTTCTTTTCTTTATATATTTTTGTATATATATGTATATACATACAGATAATGTTAGACTCTCTCGTCATTCCTATTTTGTTTTGCACGTGAACTTCTATTTTCTTTACAGTGGAGACTAAAGACGTCTATAGTATTTCTTTTTCCACTACTTGATTCTGTTCTTTCGTTCTCCATAAGTTAATCGAATAAAAAAATTATGCGCATGATTACAATGAAAATCAGTTGCCACACAACGAAATAAAACCGTTGAACGGAAAACGAGTTTTAATTAATAACAATTCTTGTTAATAATTAATTGTACAAATGGTGGCTACTAGAGTTTTTACTATTGTAAAAACTGTAGTACTGATAATCTAGGTGACAAATGTAATGCAACTAAACTACATGAATCTTATGAATCAGTAACAAGAATACTGACGTAGTATCGAGACGGTAGTGATTTTCAGAACATCTTTTGAATACGGTTGCCGTGCAAGCATATCTTCAATTGTGATGTGCATCGCTGTTTCCCACTACCATATGAACAATTTTAGCTACCAATTAAATTTTGGCAGATTATAGAAAATCAACAAATCATTTTTTTTCTCTTATAAAGGGAGCCGAGTCGCATTAAAGCTCAGCAAAACAGACATCTCATGAATTATATAATGCTTATAATTGATCTATCGAACTTATTGAGACAAGATCTTTAAGAAGCGACATTTTTTGGATTCATTATATTTATGGTTGACCGTAGAATCTTTATTCATGGAATTTATTTAAATGATTGACTTTTCGTTATTAATATGATACTTTGTCTTTAGTTGCAACTTGCAACAGTTGTGTGATTAAGTGTGACATTTTTTAAGTTCAATGAGGTTTTCTGATAGTCTTGCTTTGAATCAATATTTCAATATGAAATTCTCTCGACAACAAAACTATATCTTTTCTTTTTGAATATTGATGATCAAATAAACATAATTTACCAACGAATAGAGCCAGTAATTCTTGTAAGCAGTACCTTGAATGTAGGAACACAAAATACAGATACTTTTCTACCCATTATTTTTCCCGAATATAGTAATAAAATACTCAACAATCGTAAAAATTGAACTTTAATTTTTATCTTTTGAATGTCTCTCCTCTTTTTCATTAGTTTAATACTCTGAATAGGTGCATTCAAATGTTACTTCGATCGTTAACGATTCTAGTAGTATGCCAAGAGTCAATTCATTAATAAATTTGGATCAATTTTTCGTTAGATATAATTATTCATTACACATAAACGCAAAGAACGAAAACTACATCTAATCTGACCATCGCTTTCTGTATTAATTCTATCATCAATAATGATAAATAATGAAATATCAAAACAATATAAGTAGCACCAATAAATAACAATAATCAATCTACAATTATTTATGCCATGTTATTGTTTGATGTTGAGTAAACTAATGAAATTGTCACGTACATAATGGAAAAATATTTATTATGATAACAAGTAAAAAAGGTTTTTATTTATTGGATTGTCTCAAAACATACTAAAAATGAATTGTCCTCCAAGAGTATAGAGGTGAATATGAATTTTCTGCTTATCCAGAACACTTACACCTTCAGTAAAATTCATCGTTCGTTTTGATTTATTAATATTGATAGTCGCTGGCCACATGAATTTCCTTTGTTTGAATGTAAAAGAGCTTCTTATATGTACGATGGGTATGCTTATGACCTTGCCAATTCTACTCGCACATGTAACATGGCGTGTAGGATGTACAACATCACTTCGATATTTAATTAACATATTAAAGTCGAAGAAAATATTTGATTTTGTATCTAGAAAAAAGTAAGTAAACGACTTTTATTTATTATATCATGTATAAAAATTGTTTCCAATATCTTTCTTTCTCTAGAAAAGATTGAAAAAAAATTCTCAACTTGACTCCATCTACTTATAATATAGACATTTTCTTGTTGTTTAATTTGATATTTTCTTTCAACATTTACTGTATTTGTCTTATTTATTTCATATCTAAGAAAAAAAATATATATTGTAACTTTTAACTACTTCAGAATCAGTATCATGAACAAAACCATTTATTGATCTCTCGTACATATATGTAAAATTATAATCACTAATGGTTATAGTCTCTATATGGGAGGTAAACTGCATAGTTTCAATGGTTTTATGAAAGGATGATAACGTTTCTCGAGAGATTATCATCGAAAACTTTGATCGAACTATTCATATACCAATAGTTCAATAGGCTTTTTTGTTAAATATTTGAAAAAATTATTTCTATCTGTATTGCTAAACATGAAACTAGTCGATTATGAAATGTATTTTATGTTTCGATCGAAATATATTTATGATAAAAATAGAAGACTGATAAAGATCGTAGAAAACATAAATGCCTAGTAAACAACGTCTAAAAACCTGATCATCTGAAAGAAAGTTTGATTGCATTAAGAAAAGATTTTATTAATATGAGATTTTTGTAGCTTCTATTTGATATGTATATTAAGATTGACCGAAACAAACTCTAAAATTGATACAGATATTTTTTTCATGATTGTGCATGTAGAGGGTAAAATAGTTAGTCCTATACATAGACACATGATTGTAGTTATATCTTCTTTTATGACTAGTGTCAATCTTAGTAGAAAAGTTATTTTTTACTGATTTCGATAAATATTATTAATAAACTTCGCTTTTTCCTTCGTTGTTTTTTTCAGTATTCATATAATAAAAAATATCTATGAAGAATTACATATTTGAATTCTTCATTCATTTTTGTATTTTATTCTTAATCCTTGAAATAACTAAGTTTTAATATTTATCATCATATACCTATTTACACAATTGTCTACATCGAAACTAGTACCATCTTCCTTAGATATATGCACGTATATATATATGTCGTATCGAAGTTAGCATGTTTATCGAAGTTATAACTTCGATAAAATTTTTATCGAAGTTACAACGTCGATGCTTCCTCTTATCGAAGTTTAACTTCGATAGAATTTTTTTATAGAAGTTACAACTTCGATGACACTTTTTATCGAAGTTATTTTTATTTACTCAAACCGTACGTAGATGATGATCCAAATAGTGTCATCAGGAAAATTATTTAAGATTTTTCTTTCAAAGAAAGAAAAGACATATTTGAATCAAAAAAAAGAACATCA